GTTAATTTTAATGAACTAATTTGGGAAACAAAAGGTTTTCAAAATATTTATTTATTTAAAAAAAAATAATTCTCTCCCTAGTAATAGTAAGTGATTATGCCACACTACCTACGGTTTCCTTTTCAACAGTCATACTTGTAATTAGAGATGCACCGATCGATCGCCCAGGGATCGTAATCGGCCGATTTTCCTCATGATCGGCCGGTCAGTCTCACTTCTTTCCGATTTCTAGCCGATCCGTTTTGTTACTAGCGGCACAGTCAATAACATCAGCCGCGCATTCTTGCTCTCTTCTGTCCGACGACCCCTTCTCTCTCACACACGTCTCATTCGCTCCGGTAAAATAGTGCTTGTATTGCGAATTATTTTAGTAATTCCCACAGGTTTCGCGCTTATACCAAATGTGCGCACACCACCACTGATCTATATTAGTGGAGCGCACAATCCGCGCTCAATCTCAAACAGCTTGTGAGCCACAAATACCGAAATGAGTGGCTAACTGCGCTAAAACGTTCAAATACATAAAAAATTGTCAAAATGCCCGTTTTGGCGAGTATCCAGTTAAACACAGTCAGTTTTGGAATGTTAAATAGTTGAGAAAGAGAACACATGTTGTGTAACAGTATATTGGGTCCGTGGATAAACTCTTAAAGGGACCGCAGTTCAATATTTATGCTGCTGTCTGTCATGTTAATCAAAGAACAAAAGGCAAAGAAAATAATTTTCTGCTCTTGACTGAATATGTTTTATAACTTTAATGGTAAGCATTAATCTGTATTTAATTTTTACAATTCAGACTACAGAAATTTAAGTAATCAAATGTAAAATAACCCTGGATGTGTTATTTTACATTTGATTACTTTAATTTCTGTAGTATTTCTTAACTGAATATAAAATTACTTAACCTGAAAAACTTAGTTTCGTAGCTCTCTTTATTCTATTGCATTTATTCGTGCTGTTGTTTGCAAAAATTTTTTATTTGTTCTTATTTTATTACTGAATTTTACTTGTTTTTTTATGAAAATAAAACTTTGCGTTGAAGAAAAGTAGATTTTTGATTGTATATGCTGTCAATTTTAGTTCTTAGAAAGAAAATCGGAATCGGCAAAAATCGGTATCGGCAGATCACACTAACAAAAAAATCGGAATCGGCCAAGAAAATTGCAATCGGTGCATCTCTCTACTTGCAATGAGGCTTTTTTTCTGCAAGATATTATATTCTCAATCATTACCGCTTTGCTGAGGTAACAAAACATGTCAGAAAGCTCTCTTCAGATGATGCAGCTTCATGTAAACTCTTCTAATTCTCAACTAGGATTTTGCATGTTTGTTTTCAGTGATTTTACTTGCAACAATCCTTAAAAAGTTTCTTGTTCAGTCTGTGAGGGCTCAGGAACTCATGAGCTCCCTTAATAACACATGGATTTTCATTTGTCCAGAAAGTGAGCTTGCTGCATTTGTGTGAGCCGGTGAGGAACGGCCTCAGCTGTTCAGACAGGCACCAGTGAAGTGTGAAGTTGTTATTTTTGGCTCCATTCCTTGTGCTCACCTACACTGCGTTTTGATGCTCTTTTATATATCCGGCTCTTGGCAGCCAGATATATAAGGGGTCTTGGTCCTGAACAGCTGCAATAACCATTCTTTCTGTCTGTGCTCTTGCCTGTCACCCTTCAGGTTCGATGACGGCACCCGGTGCTGATTTTGTGCATCTCTGATTGCACAAAATCTCTTGATTAGAGAGCGGTCATTAGAGCAGAGAACAATACCCTCTGCTTGAGCTCCCTTGCGTTAGCGCTTGCGGCCGTCTGCTGGATATCTTGCATCTTGGTTGGACAGATCGACATTATGTTGACCATTTTGGAACATAGCTGGAAAAGCATGTTGGTTCTCTTGCCTCTTTGCCAGGATGACAGACTGCAAGATATTACCTTTTTTTTTTTTTTTTTTTTTTGGGG